ATTTATTGAACAGGATGGAATCATTTCAGATTTAAAGAACTTTCAGAAGTTTGAATTCTGAATATGAGCGACTTTTCCATAATTATCTCTATCATGTCCAGACCTGGAGGAGGTTCATGTTCTTTCTTCTTTGACCTCAAGCCGTTTGTGTGTTCAGGCTGGAGGAGCTCACCACCTTGTACGTCCATAAGAACCACCTCTCTTACCTCCCGCTGTGTCTCACCAACATCTCCACCCTGAAGATGATCGTCGTCAGCGGCGACGAGCTGACCAGCGCCCCGACCAAGCTGTGCAGCAGCCCGGAAATCAAGTACCAACATCACATCATCCTCATCCATCAACACCCTCATGTCCCGCTGATCAGTCTGCTTCTCCTGCTGCCACAGGTTCATCCGCCTGTATGACAATCCTTCCAGGGAGAAGAGGAGGAAGGAGGAAGAGGAGAAGAAAAGGAGAGAGAAGGAGAATAGGAGGTGGAGGGAGCAGAAGGAGGAGGTGAAGGACAGCAGCGAGAAGGAGTTCATGGAGGCGTACATCAGCACGCTGAAGGACAGAGGTGAGACCCTGAACCTCAGGAAGAATTCACATCATCTCCTCCATGGTGCAGCCGGTACCAGTAGAACCGGCGGCGGACCGCTTTGGTGCCGCCAACATCAAACAAGGAGCAGCTCAGGACGTCTCTTTGTCCGTATTAAACAGCTTTCCTCTGTTTGTCCCCACCCAGACACCGTCCCCTTCTCCACCACCAAGGTTTCCATCTCCTGTCTGCTGTGAGGAGGACAATGAAGATTCCCACCTGGACCCAGGAGTCCAAACAGGTCCAGAAGAAGCTGCTGAATGTTTGCAGAAGGTTTTTGGTTTAATTAGAGCTGAAATGATTCCTGATTGTTTTTAATGATGGAGGCTGATGAGCTGCGTTCAATAAACCAGGAAGGTTTAGCTGGAAAAGTCAGACAGCGGGAGGAAAAGGTTCATTCTATTTCCCTGAGAATCCAAAACAGGTAGTTATGAATTAATCATTAATGCCAGGATGGATGGAAATTAAAGCTGTGGTTCAAATTACAAAACTTTTTATCTTAGTTAATGAGATTTAAACAAATATTAAGTAACTTTTCAACCTTCATAACTTCTGTGATATACATTAACTTCCATCTAGTAGACTGAGCTCTCTGCATGGCTGTAGCTGCTCTGCACCACCTGCTCCATCACTAAGGGACTGAGGAGGATGGCAGTAACTCTGCCACATAGAACACCTCCAGATGTGCAGACGTCTTCACGGCATACGTTACTTCCTCCATCCGTTCCAAAGACATAAAGTTTCCCTGGTGGCTGGATATTCCAGAAACTGTGCAGGGTTGATATTCAGGTGATGCGTCTCCTTCCTGCTGGGATCTATACGTGTTTACTGGGAAATGATCAAACATATTTATCTGTGTCAAGGCTCTAAACATTTCTGTTGGGTGGCAGGAGTGCAGGAATACGATACAAAACCAGAGTTAAACGTTTCTAAAGAGTCTTTCCCACTGAAAGTAGCAGGTTAACGCATGTTTTTCAAACATGGGTCGACTCCCTAACGACCGGCATCTGGCCTCCTTCCCACAGGCATAAAAAGCTGTGATTACAGCCTGCTGTATGCTCAGAAACCAGGTCGCCTGCGTCGTAGTTAAGGTTGTGAATCACATCCATCATGGCGATTCGATTCAGATTTCCTGACCCAACGATTCGATTATTTTTGATACTCAAGAAAACACAATGATACGATTCGATTACTTGGTTAATTTTTTTTTTGTTTACACCTTACAGGCTAGACAATGTTTCAAATTTGAAATTAATCAATGAAAGCTGTAATATCATTATGCTTTTTATTTGAGAAACAACAGCAAATAACAGAAGTAGAAAAGTTTTACTCCACATTTACCTATTAAAACCTCATTTCCTGAAAAATAATAATCCCCCTGCTTTATTGATTCTGAAAGGCTTTGCATCAGAAAATACTGCACAGAATCAATGCAATGAGTGCAATGCAATACCTCGGCTCCAGACGTCCCCCCCCCTCCACAGACGCTCCGCTGCTCCTCTCCCAAATTGTAGCTGACCGCAGACAGGAGGCCGGCT